TGAGACCAAGAAATATTTTAGGAAAATTTTTATTTATTTTTCATCAAAGGAGCACCTTTGATGGTAGAAGACACCCCTGTGCTTAAGAGTTTAGCATTTTCACGGATAAAATTGCGCCGACGAACTGGCTTGTTGTGGTCATATATCTTATTAGTAGCATCAATTTTGGCTTTTACATTCATCGGTGGCATGCCTGAATGAGGTATTCCATTGATATCGTACAACCAGTACATATCCGCTGTCTGGAAATAAAGAGGGAAAAATTTTGTATGAAATATCCATGGACTTAGAAAAATGTAGGAGGGAACAATTTACCATAATTAACACCTTCTCTTCTCCATGTAGGATATGAGAAAGATACAGAATTGAAACCACGTATGGTGACACACAATTAATGTAGAAAATAAATTAAGCAAAGAATTTAGCTTTATGAGTTAAGAATTATTCACTAAAAAAAATCAGTTAGAGGTTTGCCTCTAGGTGAACTAAGCATCTGTCTGATACAAGGGAAAGCAATTTATTTGGTTTGCATAAGACTATTATCTAGCATGGACTAAAACTGATGGAAACAATACTTTTCAAGATAAACTCACTCCTGGGGAATTTAAGTGTAGCTATAGAAATGACTGGCAAAATATGTTGAGCTGCTTCTTTATGAAAATTCATAATACACAAAACCATTTTAATATACCAAGAGTGGTGTAAGATCATCAATGAAAATCATAATCTAAATCCAAGTGAGTACAACTTGTACAGGGATTTATTTAAAAACTCTTCATTTCTTCTGCACATATGCAGAGTTAGGCCATATTGAATTAGGCAGTCCAGCATTTTCTGTATATTTATATTTATACCTAAGTCCTATTGTTTTTGCAAAATTTCCTGATGCCACCTTTGCTTATAAAGGCCTTCTTCCTCACACTAAGATTTATACCATGTGTGCTCAGAAAACTCATTCAGGATAAGTCCAGACCAAGTGAATAGCACTGGACTTGACATGTAGTATGAAAGCTATCAATGAATATTGATTAAGTGCAAGAATTTCTTGCACATCTATCATCGCTTTGTTTTAATCATATCTGGCCCTTTTATCTAGTGTCTATAGTAATTACATATTCGTAATCAATGAGTTAAAAACAGATCAAACCAAGAAGCATAATACAACTGGGTTAGACAACATCTTACTTCACATAAGGATGTTTAATTTGAAAAAGAAAGCTACATTTCAGTGACTGCGTATATGTCCTTTTTGTGCATAAATTTTTCCAGTACATTGACCCACTTCATGGGTACAAATAAGTGATCTAAACGAAAAGAACTGTACCATGCCTGGCACTTGGTACTAAAGCCTGAGCTACATGAAGGGCCATGCTCCCATGCCTGGCACTTAGTGGGTACACATGAATGAGCTACATGATGGCATCTACACTCCACCCAGCACCTGGTGGGTACAAATGAGAGCTACAAATAGGGACTTATATCTTTATTTGGCACTTATATCCAAGACCCTTTGAAAATAATTATCTATAAAAACACTATTTTAAAAATCCCAATTATATTGTATGCATTTCAATTAAAATTTAAGATTAAATAATTTTACAATAAGTGATCCTGAGTTTGTGTATGCATATATACACATATATGGTAATGTATATATGAAATAACAGTATATAATGTATATATGAAATAACAGTATATAATGTATATATGAAATAACAATCATATATAATCTTACATATTATTTATTATTATATAAAATATATGTAAATAATTTATATAAATATAAAGACAAAGCATCATATGTTTTACTTTGGATAACTCTGATAGTTCTTAGATTTTTATAAACTATTTAAGATTTACTATGTCTACCATGGAAAGTTGAGCAGATTTACTACTCTGAGTAGCACTGCATTTTGTAAAACATACTGAATAAGTTAACTTTATTTCCTCAAGACAGTGCTCTTTGCCTTGTTTACTAGGGGGGTGAATAAACTTTTTAATCATTATAAATGTTATTTGATTGAATAGGAAATTACAAAGCTTCCTAATATGATTGTTGAGGTTTGTTCAGGCTAATATTTAATTATGCTGCTCTTAAAAAACCATCATTTTTATTTCCTAATAAAACACAATGAAGATCATAGTGTTGTAAACATTGACTTAATGCTTAAAATCAATAATTTAAAAAGATGATGATAATGTAAACAATAATTTTCATTTAGATAATGATTTAACTTTTTAAATTGCCTTCATGTTTATTATGTGCATCCACATGGTGTTGTCATTAAGAACTGGGTTTGGGAATCAAACAGTATGTGAATTAATGATTTTAAGGTCACTGGTTTGATATATGCAATAACTCTTATGAATCTCAAGGGCATTATACTTAGCATAAAAAGTCAATTTCAAAGGTTACATAGTGTATGATTCCATTCATATAATATACTAGAAATGATGAGATTAGTGATTGTCAGGGGTAGGGCAGGGATTACGGTGTTGGACATGTCTATAAAGGGTTAGCACAAGGTAGTTCCTCTACGATGATGGAACAGTTCTGTGTTTCGATTGTGGGTGGAGTTATGTACATCTATACATGGGTTCAAATTGCCTAGAAACACACACACACACACACACACACACACACAGATGTGAAAAATGCAGAAAATGGAATAAAGACTCTAGTTACAATTATTTTACTAATGTCAGTTTCCTTGTTTTGAAATTTTTCTAAAGTTATATAAGGTGTCACCATTGGGGAAAATTGGGAGAAGGCTTCATGGGATTCTATGTATTATTTGTGCAACTTCTTATAAGTCCATTTTTTTTAAGTTAAAACATTAAGAGATTTATGAGTCAACTGGAAATTTGAACACTAAATTAATATTTTATATGTATTGGTATTATAGAATTATTGTTAATTTTTAGATGTGATAATGGTATCATACTGACAATTTTTGTCTTTTAGAGATTAGCAGGAAATATTTTCAAATAATACAATGTCTGGGATTTTCTTCAAAATAATATGGAAGGTGGGGAAGGGAGTGGGCATATAGGTGAAGCAGGATTGGCCATGAGTTGAGTTGATAAGTGTTCATACTGGATTATGTGTACTTGGGGATTAATTATTCTCTATTTCTTCACATATTTGGAATTTTCCGTGATAACAGTGGAATCAACAAAATAGCAATTCTTTTTTCTTTTTTTTAAATTTCGAAGATTAAGGAGGTACAAGTGTTTTTTGTTACATTGATGAATTGTATAATGCTTAAGTCAGGGCTTTAAGTGTACCCATCATCAGAATAGTGTGCATGTTTTAATCTCAATTTTCCCCACATAAGCTTTATCAAATTGCTCTACTTCAGACTAACTGGAGATGGCATATTCTCAGTTGATCTCATATATCAATTTATTCTCTCATGTAAAACCTTCAATTGTGCTGCCAATAATTTAATTGTTAAATCAACACAGGGAAATCAGGCACAGATTTTGTTGGTAAAGCCTCCTAAACAGTTAATTTCAGAAAGTTCATTGTATGCTAGATAATATGAACATCATTTTTAGTTTGCAAATCTTTTTAAAGATATCACTTAATCCCTTAGAGTAAACAAGCAAATATAATAACATGATCACTTTAAATCAAGTTTCAATGAAGGCAAGAGGTGTATGTGCAGCAAGGCAACAAAGGCTTCATCTTCTTCCTCCTATGTTGTAAGGACTCTTAGAAAGATAAATAAATATACAGAACTTTCTCAAACCATATTCAAATTTTTATTTTCTCTGTTCATTAAAACAATAACAACATTTTTTTTGCCTATGGCACTACCTAATTATTGCTTGAATCAGAAGTCTAGAAATCATTTTGGCACCAGGAAGGAGTGTGTGTTATAATGTGACAACATGCTCTTTGTGCCTCTGCTACTGAAAATAATGGTAATAGGTATCTTTTCAGAAATAATTCGAAAGTTGTCTTTAGCCTGAAAGTTCTTACTATAAATTATTGGTGAAATTTTATAGACAAATTTTGGTTACTGAATAAATTTTCAAAATTGTATTTACCTTAACTGTGAATAAAATGATCACTTTAACAAATTATATTAATGGCCCACTTTACATCATGTTTTCTTTTTTAATTCAAAATAAATTTTATCTTCTATTCCATTTTCTTCATTTTAGACTTCAACATTTTGATAATACTGTCTTAATCAAAGGCTCCAAAATCTCTATCTCGAATAAGCTAAAGTTTACAAAGTTGTTGAACAGGTATATTACAGAAATTGATATGTGACTATACAAATCACTTAATAGTCATTATTTGTCTCTCCCCCATTTCCTTGATATGAAATGGAAATAATTCTTTACTTTCCCCTACTGTTGACATTCTTTTTTATATATACCATACTTAAAATTCTGTTACTAGACAAAAGAAAAGTGTAAAAAGACAGAGCAGTTGAAATAAGTTGACTTTTTAAGGCAATATTGTTATTCTTTACTTGTGACCATTTGGTAAAACCTTTTCTTCTTAGTTCATTTAATGCCTTTAATTACACCAAATTTCCTTGACTATTGCCTTTATAGAACTCACCTCTATTGCTAATGTTGCTTTGTATTTTCTGCTATACATTCGGGGTTTAAATCCTACCATGATGAGAGTTCCTTTTGTGTTATAAGGAAGAAGTTTTCCAGCCTGAGGTCTTACGGAAAACTCCGGATCACTGCCAGGTAGGAAGCGTGCGGTGAATGGTTCAGAATTTCTGCAATAAAAGTGTAAATATCAACCGATTAAATTTGATCATTATCTCATTTTCTTTAAGATAACTTGACGAATAGAGTTTGAGTCCTGCTACAATAGGCCTATAATTAACATTAATGCTAAATGCTTACTAAATAATAGTGAGGAGGCATTTTTAAAATTACTGAAAAGTGTCATTCTTCTCAGGTGACAAAATGAAATTCTTAAGATTTTTTTCAACCACATCTCATATTTATAGTGTACAGAGAAAAAAACTTTGTCCCTATAAAAATTGAAAGAATTCAATGTCCTGAATGAAAATTCAAGCATTCATAAATAAATCCATATACAAAATGACTACCACGAAAACTATCACAAAGCCTTTTGTTTCTACTATTATTCCATGGTGATATTTGATCACTCCCCTTTAACTTTCCACTTGCTAAGTGATATGAAAGCATTTTACAGTTTCATTAAAGATTCTTGGGCCTGAAGATGGGTTTCTATGATCTGAAGCAAAGTGAGTGACACTTAAACTTCAAATGACTATGTTCACATCAAGGTTGACTATATTTGAGATAGAAACTGGGAAAGAAATTGAAGAATTTCCTGGCAGAATAAACCAGGAGAGGGGCACACTACATGGGAAGTTGTATGGAATTTAAAATTCAAATTCACAGGGGAGATGCAAGCAAAAGTTCAAGCACAGTCCCTGAAAACAGATTGAATAGTAAAACACAGAAGAGGACACAGGAAAGATTCACGTTGGAACTCGCTGATCCATTACGCAAATATGTATTATGTATCATGACAGAAAGTTTGAGAACATGGACAGTAGATATGAATGGCCTGGATTAGAATCATAGCTTTATCCAGGTGCATGACTTCAGGCAATTTAATTAACCTTTTTGTATCTCAGTTTTGTCCTCTATTAAATTTAAATTAATAATCACTGTAAAGCCCTTAGATCAATGCCTGACACATGGAAAGTATTCTATAAGAATTAG